CCCCCCCCGCGCCCCCCCCCCCCCCCCCCCCGCCGTGTCTGTGGGGCAATCATCGCCTCTCACACCAGAGCATGTGAGCACAGACTCTCAGCTGGACTTCACGGAGGGGAAAGAGGTGGCCGCAGGGACCAAAGGTGCAGCCGAGTTCTGGATCTGGAGAGCCCTGGACGTCGGGTGCCCACCTTTCCCACCCAGAACCCCATTTCCCACCAGGATCTCGGCCTCACCTAGCCCTTCTTTCCACCTGCCCGGGCTGAGGCTCAAGCTGCCGGCCCGCAGGCGTCCGCCCATCTCAGTGTTTCACGAGTGGCTTCTGCGATTCTTCCCTGGGGCTGCCTCTTCAGTGAGGGGCTGCCATGGCCTCCAAGGGCAGGGGCCTACCCAGGACTCGGCCGCAGAGGCGGGCTCCCTGTTGACATTGGGCTCCAAACCAGCCGTCCCACATTCCAACCCGTTCCTTCCTCCTCGCCCTGTTCATTCGTTAGAATCTTGGAGGTGAGAATCATTCTGAGGGAGGAACTGTGTATGCCGTAGGTGCAGTTGATGGGGCCAGAGGTGCCCGGGGTCCTCCCACTGCCTGCACAGGGATGAGGGATGGAGGAATTTAAGGTGGGGATAGGTGTGGAGAAGTCCTCAGGGCTGAGGAATGAAAAACCTGGATGACCGATGTTGTAAGGGAAAAGGAAGCATATTAGGAGGCGACCCTGGTAGCCATCAAAAGGGACCTTCATCTTTGGGTTCCTCTGCTTATTTCTAGAAACATCAAGGGAACACTGTGTCCTACCTTTTCTTCCTCCAGAAATTAATTACAAACCCCAAGAGCTCTGTTTTGTCCTCACAGACCACATAATTGCAGTAGCGGGACCACTCTGCCGGCTGATTTAGTGAGTTATCTTCCTAGGTTCCTGGGCAATGAATTGTCAAATCACGCCAAACACTCCAGTTTTTGAAGCACGTTGCGCTCACTATAATGAATTGATCTAAACTGAGAGTCAACTTGTTTTTTGTTTTTTGTTTTTAACTTCAAAGATAGCAGTTGTTGGGAAAGAAAAAGAAAGCATCTTGCCTTGGACTGAAGGTCTTAGCCTTGCGTGTTTTCCATTTTCTTTGAGTAAAAAAAAAAAATGCACGAAGGGAACGAAGTGAAATTGTGGAAGAATTTAAGAAGGCTTACGGAGGAAGGGGTTCGGGGAAGGATACCAGGAAGACAGAAAGAAACAAAAAATAGTAAAGGGAGGAAAGTAATCAGGTGAGAGAGGTGGGTGGCATTGCCCAGATCTGGGCTTGGTTTCTTCCTGACCCCTGCAGCTACGTGCATATGTATTCATTCAACAGATGAGCCCTGCCCACCCGCTGTGGGCAAGGAACATTGCAGATTATAAAATGTAAGCCTGTCGAGTGTACGTTACCTTTGACCCACGAGGCAAAGCAGAGTTCATTCTCCATTGAGCAGGTCTGCCATGCAAAAAGCCCTGCCCTTGGACAGCCCTCCCTGGAACGTTGCTTGCTGTCTTCCTGGCCTCTCCTACCTCACCCCAGCCCCAGAAGGCATGCACGTCGGTCCCTTTTCCCTGCCCACAGCCCTGTCCCACGGCCAGAGCACATTCATTCGGAGGAATCTGCTGCTGAGTTACTAAGACTTGACCCACAGTTCTCTCGGCTGCCACAACCCAGGAGGAGAAAAAGTCCAGCGCACGGTTTCCAACCTGTTTTAATGAGAGATCAAGTGAGCGCGCAGTCGATTTCAGATCAGTTGTGCAGGAAGTCGTGATGAGCAGCTGAAAAAGTGAGCTGACCGAAAGAGGTGATCCCAGACAGACGTGCCCTGGGATCCAGAAGAGAAGGGAACTACGCAGAAAGAAGCTTCATCCTCCCAGCTCCCCTGCCGGATTTTCCAGGGCCTGCCAGGATGGCCCTGAGATCTTCACTCTCTGGCTCGTC